TTCTCTATTTCTTCTTGTTTGTTTGTTAATAATTCTAAGAGTTATCTTACCTTCTCTAATAATTGTCTTTTAGATGTGGATATCAGTCATATTTTAGTTATTACTATCTATTTATATCCTTTAAAATATTTGGGTTTGTGTATTTCAAGTATGATTCATGATTTCTATTTTTTCAATGTTTAGTCATATTACCTTGCTTTTGGCGGGTTTGAAAGCTAAATTGCTTTCTTTTGCTGGTAGGATTCAATTTCTTAATTTTATTATTTCTAATGTTATTTCTAATTGGATTAGAGGTGTTTCTCTTCTTAAATTATGTTTTAAATTTATTAGAAAAGTCTGCTCTAATTTTCATTTTCATGAGGATTTTTCTAGTATAAAGATTCACATAATTGCTTGGAAAGAGGCTTGTAAGGCTAAAAATGTTGGTGGTCTTGATATTTTTTATCCTCAAGCCCTATATTTTGCATGCATATAGTCATTCTCTTATTTGGAGAATAATAAATGATTCTTGTCCTTTCACTAGTTGGATCAAATTTAAATACATATCGTTTTGGAATCCATGGTCTCATTCTATTTCTACTTTTTGGAAGAATATTAGCTATATTGCTATAGATATTAAAAACACTGTTTTGTTTCATATTTCTCCCAATAGTGTTTTTTTTTTTGTATTGGGATCCTTGGTGTAAAGGGATTGTTATTCATTAATTTGTTGGGATTGTTGGCTTTAATATTGATCCCTCTTGGAGTCAAAGATTGTTGAGGGATTGGATTACGTACTGATGGTTGCTAGAATGTTCCTACTCTTATACCCCATACTATTTGTTCGGATGTTTCTTCTATTACTATTGAAGTTCGTAAGGATTCTAATATCTCTTAGATCAGAATGGAGTGTTTCTTCCCTTTTTTTAAAATGTTCCATAGTGCCTTTTATGATAACTTTACTGAAGTGGAATTGTGTTCTTATATTCAGCATAAAAGATATGCTATGAGGTTTTCTTGTTATGTCTGGATGACTATATTAAACGATATTAAAACTTATCATATCCTTGCTAAGAGAAACTTGAATGTCCCTCTCTCTTGTATCCTTGTTTAAATACTGAAGAAAGTCATAATCATCTATTTTTTTAATGTGATTTTTCTTTCTGCGGTATTTCCAAATTCTTGCCATGAATTAATTTTTTTATGTTTAGGCCTAATTTGATTCAATTACCCGATTTTATTTCCTCTTTTCATTTCGATTCTAATGTTAAAAATTGATATTTCCTTTTTGTGTGTTGTTCTATTTATGTTATTAATATTTGGAAAGAAATAAAATAATATTTTCTTTTAAGAAATCAAGTGTTGAGTCAGTTGAATGGCTTTGTTTAGCCAAGTTTTCTATTGGAATTACTTTCATTACATTAAGAACTATATGTAATAATGTGTTGTTTTTGTTTTCTTGTTATCAGTTTTTTGGTTTTTTCTTCTATTGTTTTTTGTTTGGGCTATGTTGATTGGGATCTCCGATCATTTCTTGGAAAGTTTTTTACTAGGCAACATTTGGTTCTTAGCAGTTGATTGCTGATCTTTGGTTGTCAACATTTGGTTCTTAGCAGTTGGAGGCCAGTTCATTTATTCAAATATTTCTTCTGCGATCAATTATTTCTTATGGTATGAGAATTTGTTTTTTTATCATTTCTGTTTGATTCTGTTGTCTGTCTTTTTTTCTGTAGACTGTGATGTATTTTTTTCTTTCATTAGGAGTTTTCTTTTAGTTGGCCTTTTTTAAGGCCTTTCTTTTTTTCTTTTTACATTTTTGTAAGGTTTTTTTTTTCCTTAATTTTCTTACAAAAAGTGGTATTTCTCTTGTAATATTTCATTTTTAATGAAAATAGGCATGTTTGCCTCAAGGTTGTGAAAATCGGACTGGACAACGAACCGGAATAAGGAGAGGTTCACGGTTCGATCGATTCAACCGGTTCAATCGGTCTAACCGGGGTCGAACCGAATGTCGTAATAAATAATTAATATTATTAAAATTTAATAAAATTAACATAATAATAATGTTATCATTCAAAGTTTGAGATAAAAAATTAGACTAAAAAAAACTATAAAACATAAAATTTACATAATTTAGTAAAATAATTATTTTAAAATCTCACATAGAAGAAAAAAAAAATTAAATCTCATAATTTTAAGAATTTACACTTATAAAAATATGATAATTTTAAATTTAAATATTTTTCAAATTTTAAATTTAATTTTTAATCTAAATTTAATTTACATATAATTATATAATTATAACTAATTAATGTTAAGTATTTAAATATAATTCATGCATATGATAGGAAAGTTTTATTTTGTATGGTTTATGTAACTTTTGCTTTTGCATATGATAGGAACTCACATGGAGTGATGGTGTCATGTAAGAGTGTGAAATGTTATTATTTAGTAATTCTAAATTATATGTATTTAATATTCATTTAAAAGTTTTAATCTATAATATTTATATTACTTTATTAAATTTAATATTATATTTAATATTAAATTAATTTATTTATTTATTTAAAAAAATACTTGAACCAACGAATTTTAGTAAACCAAGACCGATGGTTCATGCTGGTTTGGTCCGATTTGATGCAAAACTGGTTTTTAAGTTGAATTGGACCAGTCATTTGACCAGTTCACGATAGGGGTGTAAGTGAGCCAAGCAGGGTCGCGAGCCGGCTCAAGCTCGACTAGTTTATGGGCTCGCGAGCCAAGCTTATCGAGCTCAAGTTCGAGCTTAAGCCGGCTCGGCTAGTGAGCTCACGAGCAGGCTCGAATAAATATTAATATTTTTAAAATAATTTTATTTTATTTATTAAATTTAAATATTAAAAAAATAAAAATCATCTAAGTTTTAATTAAATGTTAAATAATATATATATATAGACTAAGTTTTAAAAATCTCACTTAATTTTTAAAAATCCCGCCTAATTTTTAAAAATACTGCTAAAATTTAAATTTTCCCTCCCATGGATGGCGAGCCGGCTCGAGCTCGTTTCCAGTGAGACAAGCTCGACTTGAGCTCGTGCTCGAGTTCGAGCTCGCTTTCCATCTAAGGAGCCGAGCTCGATAAGAGCCTAAACTCGACTCGACTCGACTCATTTACACCCCT